CACACACACACACACACACACACACACACACACACACACACACACACTGTATATGAAGAAAAACATGTAGGACCATATATTGCCTGGCACAAGGGGGAGAGATCAAAACACAGGGTGCCTCTTGCCCTGTCAAGGAGCTGTGCACTGTGGAAGTCCTCAGGGCAGTGCCCTTTCAGAGCTAGCTTCAGGAAAGATGGAGCCATGGCCCTGTCCCGTCCACATCCACCAGCAGAGGCACGGAGAGGAAGTGAATAGTGCACCCTCACCAAGGGTGATGCAGTGGTCATGCTACCCCAGCACTTAGGGATTTCCAGGAGCTGAGCCTGCCTTTCTGAAGTACAGTGCCTCCCTGAATTCCTTCGGGGGTGGGGTGGCACCTTAAAAGCACTTTTAAGCCCATAGAATATAATAATGTAAATCATACAAGCAATGGAATCCCTGAAAGCACCGAGGTACAATCACAATGAATGACAGAAGAGAGTAGGAACAATAAGAGGAAGATCAATAATATAAGGAAGTGAAACAACAATTGGGATAGATGGATGGTCAAGGAAAATGTAGAATTTTTGAAGCTTGATGTGAATTACCATCTGCAATTTCCAAGCTTTTGTCAATTTGGATCTGAAAGCTGACATTGGAAAATATTTGTATACTCACATTATGTCTCACATATTTATTAGTTTTATATTTATTTTATTTTGTGTCTTTCATTTATATATTAAAAATATCGCCCCGGTGGAATTGAATATGTTTTTGTTTGTAGTTGTAGACAGTTACAGTTGTACACAAAGTTGTGCAGTCTGTTTTTCCCATGTAGAATCACTACCAAGGTAGCTAGGTCAGTCATTTGTCCAAATAACAGTGAAACCTGTTCCTTTAACATTTGTTTATCACTGTAAGCAAAATCATGATTAAAATAAAAAGCTTAATCAGGTTGGATGCACAGTACTATGAGGTGATGAATAATAAAGTACTCAGAGGTAATGCAATATTTAGTTCCTTGGCTATGTTATTGGTAACAGATCGTGTCATTGCACTTGGACTGAATTGCTGGTCTTGATTTATAGGTACATTTTACTTTAACTGGGGAGAGAGATGTTTCACATTCTTTAAGTTTAAGGTAACCTTCACAGTTGCTAGTGTGATTCCAAAATATAAGTTGAAGGCATCTCCAAAAAAGATTTGTAGTGTTGTATCCTCTCCCACCCTCTACCATTCCCACCCCCAATGACTCAGTACAATTATTTGAACATTTTAAAAAAGGTTAAATGAATTCTAAAAATGTACTGTACTGCAAGCAAAATGTGCAGTAGCATTCCCAAGACAGTGGTAACAAACTTCATAAAAATGACTGTTTTATTAACTTCAAAGGCATTCTGACTTCCGTTTACATTTTGGTTAAAAAGACGAAATCTGTGCAAGTTGTTTCCCCATCCCACACAATGAAAACCAATCTGTAATCATTCTTCCCTGCTTTGCATCTTGTACAGTCATTTAACATCTGTGCGAGATGGATGTAAATTGCAACCAAACGGGAATGAAAGAGTTTTACACTTTCTTTGCACAGGGGTACATGGCTGCACAAGGTGCCAGGCAGTGGGTAATCAGGCCTATTCTCCCTCAGAGCTGTTCTACATATTGTTGAATGCAAGTTAGCAGTCAGTGAGGACAAGAACAAACCATATTCAGCACTATGGCAGCTTTACAGTGATTAAATTCTACACACTGAGGGTTTATTCATCGTCAGTGATACAATGCTGAACACAGTTTGTCCTGATCTACACTGTCTGCTATAATGTGTTCATTGGATTAATTAACACAGCAGTGGATAGCCATGTTCGAAACAGTACCATTTTGTCACTTAGACTACCATAAGTGTATTTAATGTTATGTTATGGTTTCTTTGGAATGGGGATGAGAATTGAATTATGTCTTGTCTTGCTCAGTGTACAAATAACTTAGGAAAAAATGCCTTGTTCTAGTATTCCTTTCCTTTGCAATTACACAGCTAATTCCAGGATCCAGGGACTATTCAAAAATGATTATAAGCATATTTTAAAATAATATCATTTCAAGGGATGCTTATGCCTGGTAAAGCAAGGGGTTAATGCCCCTGCAACTGCTGCATACAGTCTAATAATTAAGCTTTGGAGGGTTCTTGAAAAAAAATAGGGACAAGCCTAATTGGTGACAAGCCTCCAATTCCTTAGAGGGCAGAGAACCTAACTGTGCTGCATGGAAAGAGCCTGTTGAGTGACTGGTAAGTAGGTGTGCTGGTAATATTGCTCTCTGTATGTCTGTCTAGGTCATCATCCTAGTATTTGAGGGATTCTGAGGGCTTGTCTACACTGGCAACGTTAAAGCGCTTTAAAGTGGCTTATGTAGTTGTAGCACAGCACTGGGAGAGAGCACTCCCAGCACTCTAAAAAACCCAGCTCCATGGGGTGTTTTTTCACACCCCTGAGTGACACAGTTGCAGCGCTGTAAAGTGCCAGTGTAGACAAGCCCTAATAAGATGCAGGAAATGCCTCCTTTCTTCTTCAGTCTCGACTAAAGGAATATATACATCTCTGAACATAAAGCAAACTAAGTTGCTTCTGCAGCTGACACCTTTCTTTGGTGAAATTAGTTGCCCCTCTGCTAGCCTGTAGCAGGATATTTTTGATGCATTGCACCATTCTGTGGTATTTTTGTTTAACTGCAGTATATGTTTACTTCCTGGTTAGTTAGTTCTCATTCAAAATGTACAAGAGGTAAGACATTTTTTGTATCCTGAAATAATCTTTGCTAGTCCTAAATAAGTACCAACACAGATAACTTTGTCCTTTCCTGATATTGTAGCTTTGACATTTGGAAAGGATCCCAGTAATACTTTGCCAGCAATGTACTATAGTGAGTGGAAATGATTGATTAAAGTAGATCATGTGCTCTCTGTTTTCTCTGACAATGTGGATTTTACTAATTAAGAAATTTAAGCCATCCTCAGCTGGAAGAAAATGAGAGGTAGCTACCCTACCACATGTCCACAATCCATAATTGGCCTTGAAAGGAGTGCTGGGTGGTTAAATAGCACCTTTTGCAGATCGTGCTGACACCTAGGTTTGAAATGGTTTAGAAAACAAAGGCTAAAGATTAAAACTTAATGGTGAAATTTAGTTTTAAATTAAGAGGAGTAGCTGTTTAATATAAAAAAAAGTGTGGGGAGACTTTAAGGAAAGCCCTGTCTTGCAAAGAGCAAAGGCATTAAATATTTATTGTTGTGACAATGGTGATGGTTATAGATTAAATAGGCTTTGGAAACTCAGAGTGAAGATTTCTTGGTGTGTTCAGTAATATTTTTTTCTAAAAATCAAGATTAAATTAAGAAAACCCATACTCGGGTGTAGTACAGTATTTGCAATTAAAATCTACAGTGTAATCAGATGTAAAGCAACAATAAGATGCAATTAGTGTTTAAGAAAAAGACATTGAGGAAAAAACAAGTAGGGGTTTATAGAAATCAGCTCTTATTGAACAAATGCTTGTACTCAAGGTACTATTCACATTTGAATTCTTGATTCGAACCAAGATTGGATCACAACTCAAAAGAGTTGACTGGTCTTAACCTGTTGTTTGAAACTATGCATATAATACAGTATGGTAATTTTTAATATTTTCCTGGGAAATGCCAGTACTTGGAATATCAGCAAGACAGTTGGTCCCAGTCCTGCAAACACTCATTCAACAGGACTTCTTGTAGTTAAGTTTTAGTCATTTTTAGTAAAAGTCATGGTCAGGTTACGGGCAGTAAACAAAAATTCATGGCCCATGACCTCTCCATGACTTGTACTGTATACCCCTGACTAAATCTTGGGGAGGGGGGTGGCCCAAGGGGCACCATGGGTGCTCAGGGGAGGGGGCAGCCTTGGGTCTCGCCTCCCCGGAGGCGGTGACATCCCTCAGCTCCTAGGTGGAGGTGCAGTCACACATCTCTGCACGCTGCCTCCTCCCCAAGTGCCGGCTCCACAGTTCCCATTGGCTGGGAACTGCGGCCATTGGGAGCCTTGGGGGTGGTGCCTGCAGGTGGAGGCAGCGCACAGAGCCCCCTTGCTGAGGAGCCAAAGGAAGTTGCCGCTTCAGGGGAGCTCCTCCCCGTGAGGTAAATGCCACCCAGAGCTCTCACCCCCTCCCGTGCCCCAACTCCCAGCCCTGAGCTCCCTACCCAAACTACTGCAGTTGCTGGGGAGGTGGCAGTGGCCTGAGACTGCCCCAGCAGCAGCCGGTGCGACTGGCCACTACAGAGGTCACAGAAAGTCACAGAATCCGTGACCTCCGTGACAAACTTGCAGCCTTACTCATAGCTAAAGTTCAGCATGTGTGTAAGTGTTTTCAAAACCAGGGTCTTGGAGATAAACAAGTGTGTTTGAACTTTTCCACGTAGTGCTCAGGTTCCTGAATCCACTTTCCGTCTGATAAGAGACAGATTTTAGTATTACTTGCAGTGAAGAATTATCAAGTTGCTTTGCAGACATATTCAGTTATATTCAAAACAGTTTGTCCATGGGTCTGTGGAGACAAGAGTCTTAAAAGGAAAGTACAAGCACCTTCCAGTTGAATTTTGGCCTGTTTTGCTTGCAGATCTCTAGAAGTGGTAGGGAAGATGCTATGTACAAGCTGTGATATAGACCCATGCTCTTCATGCTAGCAAGAGGTGGGTGCTGGGCCAGTTCAGTTATTGTCAGGGATTAACAATATCTCCTTTTGGGAGGGCAGGATGCAGACCTTTTGCATTAGATCCTTGCTCACATAGAAGAAATGGTTGACGCTGATATTCTAGCTAATTACTGCCCAGTCTCAACCTGTCCTCTTTGGGCCAGGGGATTGAGGAGTTTGTGGCAAAGCACCTCCGGCACCATTTAGAGTTTTCTGATTTTCTTGACCTGTATTACTTTAGATTACAGCCTGTATAAATTCAAGCTGCATTGGTTTCCTTCCTCTGTTCCTGCCAATAGGTGGTCAGTTATTCATGATAGAATTTTCATTTGGAACAACAGCCTTTTACAGCGTTGAACATGAAGTGGTGTTAACTCACCTGGCAATTCTGGCTTGGGTTAACAACGCTGTCTTCAGTAGCTCCATTCTAGCCTTTCCAAAAAGTCTCAGAGGCTGATGCTATGAAACTGCATATCCATAAAGTACTCTGCTTTGGGGTTTGCATCGGAGGCAACATACCTACCCATGCTACAATCACATCTTCACTTTGCGGGTATCAAGGGATCAATTTTCTGGGATCCGCTTGCTGCCTGTCATTTAACTGAAGAAAGTCAAGTGGCAATGCACCATTGAACTGAAATGGAAATTTCATGGATTCACACATTTTAAGGCTAGAAGCGACCATTATGGTTATCTACTCTAACCTCCCGCATTAACACAGGTCTTAGAATTTCACACAGCAATCCTTCCATCTAGCCCATCACATTCAAACAGATGATATGGAGATGAACCAGTAAGAGCCCATTTTGCATGAATTAAAATATTCCTACACAAGTGCTTTTGTTTTCAAAAATTGGAGGGGGAAATGCAAAATTGCTCATGCAAAATGTGGTTCAGTGAACAAAGTAAATGGCTGGGAAATAGAAATCAATTTTGTATCATTAGGTCCAATTGTTACTGTGTTCACTTATATGACTGTAAGGTTAAAATTACTGGTTACAATTAGAATATTAATTCTGTAATTTATAAGATTCTATGCAAACATAATGTTCTAAGGAACCAGAGAGGAGTAGAGCTTTAAATGTCTCATACTAACTTTTGAAGAGTGATTCAGTTTTGAATGCATACTGGACAAACAGAGGATAGATGTTTATGATTTAAACTTGTCCACCATTTTCAGGGAGTGTGTGAATATAATCCTTCTGCTGGAATTTCAAGTCAAATATTATCTTCCTTTTCAATAGTATGAGAGTGTGCAAATGAAGCTTAGTAGACCTCATTGAAGTTTTAACTTATAATTGCAGAGTTAAGTAGAGTGCTTACATTGTTCCACTTTGAACTGTAAAATTCAGTTGATGCTTTGAGTTTCAGATTATGGTAGTGGGCTTATTGTCTCAAGAGTATGCCAAGTACTAGTGTACTGAGATTGAATAGATCAGCACTCTTGTTAGCTTGCAATATAAAATGACCTGTTACACAGCCCTTAGGCTAATCAAAAAGCAAATTAAAGTAGGGGCCAGTCTGTGAGCTGGCTGGAGATTATTGAAATTTTTATGATACAAAAGTAATTGAATCTGAAAAACGACATGATGGTTGTTTTTACAGCCTTAATATGCCTTCTCAGAAATTGAAAGTAAGGAAACTTGACAATGATGAACGCTGTTACTGCTGTTAAATTAAAAAGAGAGAGAGAGAAAAACAGAAAAACTAAAGAGGTGCTAAAACTGAACACACATTCTCAGAATAATAATGGTGGTTCTCACTACAGTCCCTAGAAAAAAACTGGAAGCTTATTCGTGATGAAGGGCTTGCTGTGATGGATAAAGGAAAAGGCCTCTTCTTACCTGAAGATGAGAACCTGCGAGAAAAGGGAGATTGGAGCCAGTTCACATTGTGGCAGCAAGGTAAGTAACCTATTTATTAATCTTCCTTCCAATTGCCCCCTCCCCTTTGTTCACTCAATATTCTGTAATAAGAAATAGTAACATAGCTTTACAAAACCAATGCTATTTTGTTAAATTTCTGGAACCGTCATTTGAGCCTGTGGCAGAAGGCAGCTAATAAAATGGTATTTGCACCCTGAGCATAGTGAGCAAGAATTCTTTATGCTAAATCACATTGCCCAGGAGCACCTGCAGAATCCAACACGACAATATCCATCTCTTGGCAAGGTTGCCAAGATTTTGTTCTAGCAAAGTCAGTAGTGCACAAGTACAAATCAGCCCGGAGGAAGGAGAGAAGGTGGGAAGGAAAAAATGTATCTCCAGTCTTTTGTCACCAACCAGATGCAATTCTGTCATTCAGAAACTATATGAGCTACATTATATGTTTTAATAAGCCAGCTGCTCTTTCTCTGAGCTATGATGTGGGAGGCCTGAATGTTGGAATGACCTTAAGTAGTGTAGGGATTTACACATTAGAAAGAACTTTAAAATATATCATTTCAACACTGAGGTATAGTTTGTCTTGATGGGAGTCACTTTCATCTCTTTTCCCCAGAGCCTCATTCATCGTCTTATGACTCATACCCTAAATGAATGATTTAAAAGCAGGGTGCCATAACTTATACTGATAATATTACAAGCCATCTCTCTTTGCTTCAGTTTCAGTGTCTATCCTCTTTTTGCTTCTGTGAAATGGGAACTGTAACACTTACCTGGCTTTTGTAGGAAGCTCTTTGAAATCTTTGGATGAAACATGCTTATGTGAGTGGGAAGTGCAGAGATTATTTATATAGTGTTTCACTTGCCAATTTGTTTTGTTAGGAAGAAAAAATGAAAATGCCTGTAAAGGCGTCCATAAAACATGTGCTTTATTGGAAAGATTCCCTGAGGCTACAGGGTGCCGAAGAGGACAGGTACTTATTGATATGCTTCATTATTGCAATCCAAGAGGGTGGGGTAAGGTGATGCTGACTAATGCTGTACACATAGGGGACACTGACTTGAGCAGAGTTCATTCAGTGGGCCAGATCCACTGAAGCTGGTTCAGGGAGTTATAAACTAAAGCCACTTGCACCAATCTGGCTTGTGGGTCAGCATGAAGATTCACCTCGAGGCAGGCAGGTGGTAGTGCCACTTCCATTTGCCCTTCCTCAGGTTTCTGCCTCTGGAAGGCAACTTTAAGACTCGCCACAGGATGCTGGCAAAGTGTGTATCTCATCCCTGCCCAGTGCCTGGTCCACATAGAGAGTAACAGCCTACTCCTGCTACCAGTTACTCAGCTAGTTGCGGATCTAAATGTCCAGACCCAGCTGATGACCCGAGCTGGGTCAGGATGATTCCTCAGGATGAAATGTCTGTTTTTTCAATGTTTTAATTAGGGAATTACATCCAAAAACTGCATTAAAAGGATGTTAGGGTTGCCAAGTCAAGCATTCCAAATTTAAAGAATTATAGAAATGTAGGGCTGGAAAGGACCTCAGAAGGGGACCCTGCTGAGGCAGGACCAAGTATATCTAGACCATCCCTGATAAGTGATTGTTTAACTTGTTCTTAAAAACCTCCAATGACAGGGATTCCACAACCTGTCTTGGAAGCCTATTCTAGTGCTTAACTACCTTATAGTTAGAAAGTTTTTCCTAATGTCTAGTCTAAATCTCCCTTGCTGCAGATTAAGACCATTACTTCTTGTCCTACCTTCAGTGGCCATGGAGAATAATTGATCACTTCTTTATAACAGCCCTTAAGCTATTTGAAAACTGATATTAGGTCCCCCTTCAGTCTTCTTTTCTCAAGACGAACATACCCATTTTTTTTAGCCTTTCCTCATAGGTCAGGTTTTTTTAACCTTCTATCAGTTTTGTTGCTCTCCTCTGACCTCTCTCCAGTTTGTCCACATCTTTCTGAAAGAGTGGCACCCAAAACTGAACACAGTAACCTGCATGAGGCCTCACTAGCACCAAGTAGAACAGGACTATTACCTCCTGTTAATACACCCCAGAATAGTAGTCTCTTTCACAGCTGCAGCATGTTGTTGGCTCATATTCAATTTCTTGGCCAATATAACCCCTCAATCCTTTTCAGGAGTACTGCTGCCTAGTCAATTATTCCCCATTTTGTATTGTGCATTTGTAATTTCATTCCGCAGTGTGCTACTTTGCACTTGTCTTTATTTAATTCCATCTTGTTGATTTCTGACCAATTCTCAATTTGTCAAGGTTGTTTTGAATTCCAATCCTATCTTCCAATGTTCTTGCAACCTCTCCCAGCTTGGTGTCATTTGCAAATCTTATAAGTATGCTCTCTACTCCATTATCCAAGTAATTAATGAAAGCATTGAACAGTACCAGATCCCAGATAGACCTGCAGGACCCCACCAGATACTTCCTCCCAGTTTGACAATGAACCACTGGTAACTACTCTTTGAGTACAATCTTTCAACCAGTTATGCACCCACCTTATAGTAATTTAGTCTAGACCACATTTTCCTAGTTTGCTTATGAGAATGTCATGTGGGACTGTGTCAAAAGCCTTATTAAAAGCAAGATATATTACATCTACTGCTTCCTCCCATTTAGTACTCTGTTAAAGAATTCTCTCTGTTTCTCAGTTCCCTTTCCATAAAATAGAGTTATACACTCACAGGGTGTTGTAAAGATAAATTCATTCATGTTTTTGAAGCACTCAGATACTATAAGGAGAGCATTGTAGAAACACCTGTATGGAAATTCATAATTTTGTATTCAGCACAGGGTTTGGATGGTGTGCATTAAATAAAGTCTGGGGACACGCATTGAATGAGGATAAAAAAGAAATATTGAATAATTAACTACCCATTCACTGAATGAGGCAGAGATCCTTTGGAAAAAATAGTATGTGGTACCATATAATGATTATATCATATTGCATATCATAACGGAGTCAAATAAAGTAGCATGGACAAATTTAATTCTGGCATTTCCTAAATTTCAAATGCTTGATTCTACAGCCGTAACGTTATTTTAATGCAGTTTTATGGATGTTATATATTAATAATGTATGTGTGGTACAGTACTTATGAATTATATGTATGGCATGAGTTGTTTGATGATACCCCATATGCATTCCAGTGTGGGACGGTAGGTGTGCAGTTGGTGGGGGTTTTATCTCTGTGTTGAAGAAGGTTCTCTTGGGATATTTGGGTGGCCTGTTCCATGATACCCCAAGGGGACCTACTTCAATACAGAAATAAAACCTCCTCTGACAGCACACCCCTAATTGTCATGTACCGCCCCACATTGGAACCCACACAGGTATCATCAAACAACTACAACCCATACTCAATGGGGACCCATCCTGAAAGAAATATTTCCTGAACCTTGACAACCCCCCAACCTCTCCAAGCTCATCATCAGAAGCAAGCTGTCCACAGACCGGGACACACCAACTCAAAGCAGCACCTGCTAAAACAATAGATGTAAAACCTGCAAACAGAGCTCCATGGCTACAATGATCAATACCCCACACAATACAGCTTTCAAAATCCATGGGTCCTACACATACCTGTCACAACAGGTGGTGGACTCATCCAGTGCACTAAATGCCCCAATAACAGCTATGTGGGTGAAACCAGACAATCGCTATGTTCTCAGATGAACTCACACAAGAAAATAGAAGACAACACCACTATATTATCTGTGGGTAAACACTTTTCACAAAGTCAAAAGATAAGCCTCGGAGCTTAAATTCATAACTTTGCTAGACACTAAAAATCATGGTGTTAAAAAAGAGGCTGGATTTATGGCTCATTACAACAATCTGTAACCCAGTAACCCTCCCCACAGCTGCTTCTCCCGCCCTCCTTACTTCCCTATGACTGGAGTGGTGTTAATGGGCCACTTCCCCTTGAATGATCCCTTAGAATATGCACTATCTGTTCGATCTCGTATTTAGCTGTGACACTCTTAGGCCATGTGTACACTAGAAAGCTTACAGTGCCACAGCTGTACCGATGCAGCTGAGCTGCTGTAAGATCTCTCGGATAACCGCTCCAAGCCAACTGGAGAGAACTCTCCTGTTGACATAATTAAGCCACCCCAACGAGCCATGGTAGCTATGTCAGTGGTAGAAGCTCTCCCACCAAGTAGCGTTGTCCACACCGGTGCTTATGTTGATGTAACTTATGTCGCTCAGTGGGCTGGTTTATTCCCACCCCTGAACAACATAAGTTACACTGACATAAGTGGCAGTGTAGACATAGCCTTAGTACCTTTCCCAGACCCAGGGCCGGCTCTAGGATTTTTGCCGCCCAAATCAAAAACAATTTTGGCCGCCCCCCCCCCATTTTTTAATTACCCTCACCCCCGGCCCCGCCTCAACTCCGCCCCTTCCCCAAATCCCCAGCCCTGCCTCCTCCCCCCAGGCTCTCAAGCCTGGGAGGGAGGGAGGGAGGGGGAGCAGTGGCGCGCGAAACTAGTGTTTTGCGCGCCGCGGCCGCTCGGGATCTCCCCCTCCCTCCCAGGTTTGAGAGCCTGGGAGGGAGGGGGAGACTCCGAGTGGCCGCGGCGCGGGCGCCGCTTCTCCCCCTCCCTCCCAGGCTTTCAAGCCTGGGAGGGAGGGCGAGTAGCGGCGCACGAGCGGCAGCGGAGGTGAGCTAGGGTGGCCGGGGCACATTTTTAGGGGTGGCATTCTGGCGCCGGCCATGCCGCCCCTAAAAATGTGCCGCCCCAAGCACCAGCTTGTTTTGCTGGTGCCTAGAGCCGGCCCTGCCCAGACCTGAAGCAGAGCTCTGTATTTCAAAAACTTGTCTCTCTCACCAACAGAAGTTGGTCCAATAAAAGATATTCGCTCCCCACCTAGTCTGTCTAATATCCGGGGACAGACACAGCTACAGCAACACTGCATACTGCAATGTTGGGCTGTTGTGACTCATCTTGAATCAGCTGTCGTAAAGTTCTGTTCTTCTAGTAGAAGGTTCGTGAAAATGACCCGATTAAAGAATTGTCTCTCTGTTTGCAGATCAAGTATTCCGTCATGCACCCAGGGACTCATGTCTGGCCTCACACAGGGCCTACTAACTGTAGGCTGAGGATGCATTTGGGCTTGGTTATACCAAAAGAAGGCTGCAGAATTCGATGTGCCGAGGAGAACAGGTATGTTTGTTTCCTTCTCTTCCCTAAGGTTTAAAGAATTGGATTGCACCTGCTTACAGATGTGACCCACAAAACAAAAAAGACAGTTCTGATGTGTGTGGGTTGCTGGCAAAGGGGTCTTCAATTAAAATATATAACAAGCAGCTTGGTCCCTAGAACTTGTTACAAATAAATGAATTTATTGTCATGCAGTGACCCAACACTGTTTTGAGATGAAACCTGCTCTTTCATGTCACGGCCATTTTTCTCTTAGGAACTGTGTCCATAGGCCAAAGGCTTTGAATCACAGGCAGTTAATCCAATGACATTTACCAGTTGTATGCAAGAGTTATGCCATTTTTCCCTTTCCTCTGCTTGGAGATCAATCATCTTGATCAGCAAAATCTAGACTCTTCACCGCAGCTCTGTTTACTTCTTTACTGCTGAGGATAAAGAGCGCTCTAGTCTGCCCATATAGGCCAGGTCCTCAGCTGGTATGTATTGGCATAGCTCCATTGAATTGAAGTTGAAGTTAGTGAAGCTATGCTGATTTTACAGTAGTGGAGGATTTGGCCCAATATGTGGATCTGATAAAAAGTTTTCTTAATTTTAAAATGCATTAAGAAGGAAAACTGTTCTTACGTTGCATTGCAGACCTGTTCAATCTCTGTTTGCTCACCTTAAAAAACAACTGGATATTTGAGCTCAGGCAACATAATCCCCGGAGAAACATATGAAAGACCAAACTGTAGCATCTGATGCCTGCCTATGGCATTATAAATAAAACCACAAAAATATAAAACTTAAGTTAAAGTTAAGCAATTGAATTACCTTAACTTGCAAAAATTTGCCTTTCACTTATAGATTTTTATTTTCTTAGTCAGAACCCCCCGCCACCCCAACCCCCCAGGAGTTCTATTGTTTACACTGGGAATTTTCAGAGAGCTAGTATATTTCTTACAGCATACGCACGCCTATAACCACATCTGAGTGCATGCTGCTACTGTGGAGACGCATTTGGTGATGAAAAACACATCAAGCATCATGACAACATGTAGTTGAGTGAAGTCTTCTGTAAACCAACCAGAGCGGATGATTTATAGAATTCCGAGAGTAGGAGTTTTCAACTATTAATAATCTAGCTGTTTGCAGAAGTGTTGGGACTCCTGCCAGCATGTACTTCATTTAAATATTCCATCACAGGGTCAGCATTGCAGCTGATGCAGTATGTTTTGTCTAATCACTGATGAATACATTTGTTCTCAGCTTTCCAGCTCAGTATTTGAAATAGGTTGAAGGTACTGTACACATTTGGGCAGGAGGGAGTGGTGGCTAGATGGCTTAGAGGTTTGTTAATGAGTGTGGCGCCTTCCACCTGTTCACTGTTGTGAATTCAGGTCAGTAGTCACTGAGAGTCATCAAATGGCTGTTCATTGACCTGTGTGAAACAAAGTGGTGGGTTTCACTCCAGATCCGACTGAACCGGTGTCCACAACTCTCAATCCGTGATCACAACTGACATTCTTATTTGTCATAATCCGAGCAGACAACTTAGTGGCATGGAGACTGAACTACCCTCTCACCTGTTGCATTGGTCCCTCCACATCTGGTGCTTGTCAAGGAAGCATAGGGAAGCTGGTGTTGTTACTGCTCTGTACAGAGAGGGTTTCAGTCCCCAGTGCTCTGAGTCTGGCACATTCTGTACACACTAAATTCACTTCTTAAAAATGTAAAACTAATATATAAGGGCCAGGTTCTGCTACACTGACATGGACAGCTCCAGTTTACGTCAGCAGGAGCTGAATATTCATTTCCAAAGACACAATTCCCCCCACCGCACCCCAAATGATGATATTTGCAATAATAAAAATTAAGCGTTAGGTTTTACTTTTCCTCCTCCCCTGTACATGGGGTGGCACATTGGTGAGGCAAGGTGGGAGCAGTGCAGGAAAGGAATTGTGTCTCAGACAGGTCTGCTTCTTCCCTGCTGATTAAGTCGTCCATGACGATGACGACGTCATCATCATCATCATCATCCTCAAACATTCATAGTCTATTAAGACCATTGTGCCAGCCAGAGTGACCGTTCATGGCGTTACATCAGGCGTCGGGTGGTGAAGTTTCTTGGCTGGTTAAGACCAGTAGCAAATTACTACCCCACCCACTTGAGCTGGCTCAGCTGTGCAGGCTGGCAGGGTAGGGGGTCAGAGCTTTGACGCCACACCTCCCCACTCCCTGCCCCCCTTGTGTAGTGCAGAGTAATGGAAATGCAGTGCTCATTTACTCCTAGGCACCCAGAGGCAAGGCGAGCGAGTGGGCATGTAAGTAACCTCCCTGAGTGACATAACTTATGTGAGTGAGGTGCTGTGGCCTGCAATGCGCAGGAGGTCAAACTAGATGATCATGATGCTCCCTTCTGACCTTAAAGTTGTTGAGTCCATGAGGTAGGTTTACTTCACACGATGCCCTTTCATAGGCGCCAACTTTTCCCAGTACCGGTGGGTGCTCAACTCCCCCCCCACCCCGCGCCTCCGGCCCCGCCCTGCCCCCATTCCAACCCTTTCCCCAAAGTCCCCGCGCCAACTCCACCCTCTCCCCGTGCCTATTGGACCCCTTCCCCAAATCCCTGCCCTGGCCCCACCTCTTCCCCGAGCGTGCTGCATTTCCCCTCCTCCCCCCACCCTTCCAGTGCTTGCCGCCACGAAACAGCTGTTTCAGGGCAACAAGCGCTGGGAGCTAGAGGGAAAAGCGGAGCCACTGTGCGCTCAGGGGAGGAGGTGGAGGTGAGCTGGGATGGGGCAGGGAGCTGCCGGTGGGTGAAGAGCACCCACCAATTTTTCCTGTGGGTGCTCCAGCCCCGCAGCACCCACGGAAGCAGCACCTATGTGCCCTTTCATGGGCATGCAGCCAAATGCAAAGTCTAGCCTTACATTTTACTCATTCACCCCCTTCAAAGTCTTTGTGTGTTTGTTTTGAATGCTACCATGTTGTGATCAGCTCTTAGGGTGTGGGGAACAATACAGGCTTTTTTTTGGTGTTCTAAAAGCAGTAGCATACAAGATGCTGAATAGTGGTGGTAAATGATGTTTCAGTATCAAAATAAAATGACTTTATGTCAAGGATTGTAATAGTGATTTGTAATGGGAGTGAAATATGTCCCTTCCACAAAGCCAGGGTAAAACCTTCTCATCTAATACAGGTTATAGTAGAGCTCTCTTCTGAGCAAATGATATAGAAATCCTTCCTGGCGTTGCCAAATCTGACAAGATAACAAAGCTGCACACTGCCTTTCATAGTAAGCCCAGAACAAGCCAAATTCATTTCAGAGGCACCGCCCCCTGCCAACAATCGAGCCCAAAGCACAAGCCAACCCATTTTGGAGGCATTGTCCCCCTACCAACAACTCCCCCTCCCCCACCCCACAGCCCCATCACCACCGGAGGCACAGTTTTTGATTTCTCTATTTTGGGTGGGAGGGGCTGCGCATGTGGGGGGCGGGAGAGGAGGCAAATTCTGTGCTGGCCTACAGGGGCACCATTTCAGATTTTGGGGGTGGGTGGGGGGCAACTTTAACCATGATTCCAGCAGCTACTTAGGCAATTGAAAACGCTAAAAAAAAGTTTTGCAGATAATAACTCAGAAATTATCTGAGAGGAGCATTGTATCTAATTTCTATATCAAGAAAGAAAATTAAATAAATATTAGACCCACTCAGCTCTAATATAACATGTTCTGACATCTTGTGGCAAGTCACTTAAGGGAAACCGGTTAGGTTTAAAATTGTAATGTATATTCTTACTCACGTACTCTTACTAAAGTCAGAACACATAGGCGCTGATTTTTGTTTTTGCTGGTGGATGCTTTTGAAGAGGTGTGTGTGTTTGGGGGAGCATTCTGCCAGTTTTGGGGGGAAAGCGATTTTCATCATATTTATACATTTCTTTCATATTCTATTTATTGAATGTGACTATCATTGGTATATTTACTATTTTAATAATGATTCAGTTATTATGAACTACATAATTATATTATCATGAATTACAGTATATTAAAATCATTGCAATCACAAGCTGTCTTCACTAACGTCTCAGTTTAAAGACATTGTTTCACTGTAGCTTTCTGGATGAAACTGTCAGCAGTCTTATTTACATCTCGGTTCCTGGGTATTATTTTGATGCATGTTAAGGACAGTTACATTATTCAGTTGCGTCTGTCTCATTGATGACTGGAGATAATTTTTAAGTCTTCTGAAGCTGGAGAATGAGTTCAGGATGATACAGGCACAGTGAGAAGCAGGGGCGGCTCCAGGCACCAGAGCAGCAAGCGCGTGCCTGGGGCGGCAAGCCGCGGGGGGCGGCGTGCCGGTTGCCGTGAGCACGGCAGTCAGGCTGCCTTCGGCAGCATGCCTGCGGGAGGTCCGCCGGTCCCGCGGTTTTGGTGGCAATTCAGCAGTGGGTACGCTGAATCCGCGGGACTGGCGGACCTCCCGCAGGCATGCCACCAAAAGCCGCCTGACTGCCGTGCTTGGGGCAGCAAAATACATAGAGTCGCCCCTGGTGAGAAGGATTCTTATACTGCAAATGACTCCAAGATCTCTTTCTTGAAGTGTAACAGCTAATTTAGGCATCATCATTTTGTATGTATAGTTGGGATTATATTTTGCCATGTGCATTATTTTGCATTTAACATTGAATTTCATCTGCTATTTTGTTGCCAAGTCATCCAGTTTTGTGAGATCCCTTTGTAACTCTTTGCAGTCTGGTTTGGACTTAACTATCTTGAGTAATTTTGTATCATCTGCAAACTTTCCCACCTCACTATATACCCTTTTTGAAGATAATTTATGAATATGTTGCACTGGTCCCAGACCAGTATAAGCCCCTCAGTGGACACCACTATTTACTTCTCTCTGTTCTGAAAATGGACCATTTATTCCTACCCTTTGTTTCCTATCTTTTAACTGGCGTGCTTGGCAATGCTTTCAGGATCATCTAATGATCCTTAATTTAATATAATGACAAGCCTTTTGTTATCTTATTCACCCTGCCTCTGTTTATAAACAAACTCCCTGACCCAAGGGCAGAAGTTGTTAGCAGCACAGAACTCATCACATTCCATACTCAAGCTCTGGCTTCTGGGTGTTGAGCACCCATTATTTTTTTTCCGTGGGTGCTTGAGCCCCAGAGCACCCACGCTCAGAATCTGCGCCTATTCATGGGTGGCCAGAACTGCACACAGTATTCCAGATGAGGTCTCACCAGTGCATTGTATAATGGTACTAACACTTCCCTGTCTCTACTGGAATTACCTTGCCTGAGACACCCAAGGACCTTGATGTTAGCCTTTTTCAGGGTCACATCACACTGATGGCTCATAGTCAACCTCCTGTGATCAACAAATACACCCAGGTCTTTCTCCTCCTCTCTGTCACTTCCAACTGATAAGTCCCCAGCTTATATCAAGAATTCTTGTTTAGTCCCTAAACGCATGACCTTTCACTTTGCACTATTAAATATCATCCCATGTCTATCATTCCAGTTTACAAGGTCATCCAGAAATTCTTGTATGATATTCTGGTCTTCCTCCATATTGGCAATACCTCCCAACTTCGTGTCATTTGCAAATTTTATTAGTGCACACCCACTTTTTGTGCCAAGGTCAGTAATAAAAATGTAAAATAAGATTGGACCCAAGACTGATCCCTAAGGAACTCCACTAGTAGTAACATCCCTCTAGCCTAACAGTCCACCTTTCAATATGACCCATTTTAGTCTCCCCTTCAACCAGTTTCTTATCTACCTTTCAGTTCTCATATTAATCCCCATCTTCTCCAATTTAACTAATAATTTCTCATGTGGAACTGTATCAAATGCCTTACTGACATCCAGTAGATTAGCTCTACTGCATTTCCTTTGTCTAAAAAATCAGTTATCTTCTCAAAGAAAGATGTTAGTAACTTTGTTACCACTTCTTGAATCCAATAATTGTAGAAAAATCTTCAATTACTTTCTGTCATTTAGGCTACTCAGTTTTTTGCAGATCACAAGTTTGGAATAGATCATTTAACTTTAGGAAACATCCTAACAGCCCTTTCTTATCTTAATCACCTGTTAATCACCTGTTCATAAACACAATTGCTCAGGGGCCAACCAAGGAAGGTTTTTTAAAGTCTTTTTAAGCTCCTTCCCAGAACTGTGTGCATGTGCACACTGCAGAGACCAAGTGAGGATGAAAAACAAAAAATGGAAGAACCCCGCCCAAAAAACCCCCAACCCCTAACCTGCTATTTAGAACTAGGACCCTACCAAATTCATGGTCCATTTTGGTCAATTTCACGGTCATAAGATTTAAAAAATAATAAATGTTATGATTTAAGATATTTAAATCTGAAATTTCACAGTGTTGTAATTGTAGTGGTCCTGACCCAAAAAGGAGTTGTGCGGGGGCGGGGTTGCAAGGTTGTTGTAGGGTACTGCTACCCTTACTTCTGCGTTGCTGCTGGCAGCGGCACTGCCTTCAGAGCTGGGCAGCTGGAGATCGTCAGCTGCTGGCTGGGAGCCCAACTCTGAAGGCAGAGCTGCTGCCAGCAGCAGTGCAAAAGTAAGGATGGCATGTTATGGTATTGTCACCCTTACTTCTGCGCTGCTGCCCGCAGAGCTTGGCCTTTGTTCAGCAGCCGCCACTCTCCAGCCACCCACTTCTGAAGGCAGCAGTGCAGAAGAAAGGGTGGCATGGTTATGGTATTGCCACCCTTACTTCTGCGACGCTACTGGCGGAGCGCTGCCTTCAGAGCTGGGTACCTACCCAACAGCTGCCACTCTCTGGCCACCCAGCTCTGAAAGCAGCACAGAAGTAAGGGTGGCAATACTGTGACTCCCCTAAAATAACCTTGCAACCCCCAGTTTGAGAAACACTGGTCTCTCCGGTGAAATCCGGGAGGAAACCAGATTTCAGGGTCCATGTCGCGTTTTTCATGGCCGTGAATTTGGTCGGGCCCTACTTATAACACATTAAGAGCAATTAAAAAAAACCCAAACAAACCAGAATCCACTTATTGTAAGTGGACTTGGCAAGGTGCAAATGGTGGGTCTTGTAGTGAAGCCAAATGGAAGATAATGGCTCTGACAACTTTGAGTCGTCTTTCTCTTCGTTGTGTGGGACAGTCCATCTCACTATGATGCAAATGATTGATCCTTATTCCTTTGGTGGCATTTCATTTGGATGTTTTGATGGTTTTTTCCTCCTGATCAGAGCTCAGATTAACTAGTGAAGTGCTTTTCAGGCCAAAGTTAAAAAACAAACAATAACAGAACCAAAAAAAACCCCATAGGTCCTATTTTTCACTCTCTTATATCAGTGTGTAACTCCTTTGACTTCATTGGAGTAATATTGGTGTAAAACTGGTATAAGAATAAAGGAGTGTATTGCTTAAAACGGGTGTAAATTTAGAATAGCTCAGCCTTATTGAAAAGAAGCATTTACATGTTGTTTTAAATCTGCATTTATCTGAGTGGGGAATCAGCCTTGACACATGTCCTTACTTAACAAAGACTGGTAGGCCAAGATTTTCTAAAGTGACTTGTGATTTTGGGTGCCCAACTTGAAACACCTTAAAAGGGGCCTGATTTTCAGAAAATGCTGAGCACCCTCAGAAGATCAAGCCTCTTTAAAGTGACCCAAGTTGGTCACACAAAATTAAAGCATCCAAAATCACTGCTTACTTTTGAAACTCTTGGCCACCGTTTTTTCCATCTCTCCTACTATGTCAATCCCTATGGCTTAGTCAGTTTTGTTATTCTACTCAGAATTTTGTCTAGTTTTCTAAGTCTTTCTGGCAATGAGGTGCCCACAGCTCCGTGCAGTATCCAAAGTACAGTTGCATCAGAGATGCCTGGAGAAGAGACTATCACCTCCTGCCTCCAGGAATTGATGCCTTTGCATATGCAGCTGAAAATTGCATTAGCCTTCTTAAATCCTGTATGACATTGCAAAGTCATACCAAGTTTGCTATGTGCTCTCATAATACGTCTCCCTCAGCATTACTGCTGTCCAGCTTTTTCCTTCCCATTGTCTAGCTATGCCTCAGTGTATTTTTACCCAGATGTATTTAGGCTGCATTCTTTAAAGCTGAACCTCATTTTATTTCCTGTCCATGTTTTAATCTCTTTATCTCCCTTTGTATTATTTCTCTGTCCTCACTTGCAATACTTAATTCAGCACCTCAGAATTCAGGCTCTCCTCTTGCAAAGTGATACACACTCATGGACCATTATACTCACTCAGGTGTCCCATTGTCTTTGCAATATCAAGACCTTAATTAACATGCTGTTAAACCCCTTTTCAAGGTCATTAATGAAAATGTGAAAACTGAACCTAACTCTGATCCTTCCAACCGATTAGATACCTCTGCTTCTGATACATTGCTTCTCACCATTGTCTTTTAAGTTTTGTTCTTCAGATTGTTGTTAAAGAATGTGACTGCTCATACACAGACCTGTTTGAATGAATTGTACGTATTATGGTTTGTGAGAGTCTATCAATTTTTTGCACTAAAATAAAAAATATGGAATATTTACTGTGTTCCCTGCCTAAGGCCATGTCTACAAGGGAAAATTGCACTGGAATAACTTTACTTTTCCTGTCTAGCAGTGCTTAGCACCCTGGAATACTCACTCAGAGTGCTATGTGTTTGTGTCCATATGGTGTCACACTCCATGGAAGCAGCGCTTAGCAAGCAAAGTACAGTAGAACCACGGTTTTATGAACACCAGTCTTAAAAATGACCAGTTATATGAACCATTGTTCCCGATTGAGGGGGAAAAATCACATAATGAAAGTGATGTCAGTGAAGAACCAGCTGTCATCCCTTCACGTTCCAATGCTTTCAGGGCATTGGAAATCACTTTGCAGTGGCTGTAAGGACAAGAAGAAAGTGCTGCAGTGTGTACAGTGCTGCAATGTATGCACCAGACCTACTATCATTTTGAAATGTTCCATTTTATGCTTTTTTGATGTTATGAACTCCTCGATTCCCAATTTGTAAAACAGAGGTTCTACTGTAGCATGGACTCACTTTTGATTTAGTTATATCAGCATAATTATACCAAAATAAACTACACTAGTGCAGCTTTCCCCTGTAGACACGCTCTTAGGCTCCTATCCTGCAAAGATTTATGCAGTGAGTCTACTCACATTCTTGACGTTAAGTATGAACCAGGATTTAATTTTGTAATTCTGTGATTTTTAATCCAGTTTTTTTGACATGATTTGTTTATTTTAAAACCATGTTGCTGGCTATTGCTCATCTTTCAATTATTCTCTAATAGTACATGTCTAAAAAGGGCGGGGGGAGCTTGATTTAAAGTATCCAGATAATTGAGAGTGGTGGATAGTCAATGCCTCCTAGACTCAGATCCCTTATATATATTCTCTCTCTCTCTCTCTTTGTATGCATACAGGAATATACACTATATATATATATATATATGTATATAAAAAATTTGGCCTTATAGCTCTTTATAGTGTATATTCCTGTATGCATACAAAGAGAGAGAGAACATAATAGTATAACTCAGTGAATGGAACTACATCAAACTGAACTTTCTATAGTTTATTTCATTCAGAGCTCTGATACAGACATCTCATTTCTCTTTATTAAGTACTAGATTACTTATGGCAAAACATGCTGATTATACCTTCTCTATATACAGAAGAGCATCTCCAGAACAAATACCTGCCCAGATAAGTACCCATATTGGGTGCCCAAAAAGCAATAATAAAGGATGTTCTTTTCTATTACAGAACCTGGAAAGAAGGGAAGGTTCTTATCTTCGATGACTCTTTCGAGCATGAAGTGTGGCAGGATGCTGACAGTTATCGGCTGATATTCATTGTGGATGTGTGGCACCCTGAGTTAACACCCCAACAGAGACGCACCCTTCCTGCCATTTAAGAGGTCATTTCTGATGTAAGAAACAGATGAGGTTTAATCTGTTGGAGTCTGCTAATATAAATACGCAACATTAATTTGGCTGGCCGTGTGGAAAATGTCAGCCTTCTAGGGGCTAGAAGATGTGAAAAAATTGTTCCACAATTACTATGGACTTACCTACAAATGTTCCATTCTGTTTCATACTGAAATGGCACTGATCTGATAGATTTGCTTGTAGGCTGCAAGTACAATAATACTCTTGTCAGCCAAAGAGCTATAAGGCCAAATTTTCAAAATGAGGAATGTGCAAATGTTTGTGACATGTCTATATTATGTGTACCAGTACCACAGACGTACATATGCACAAGGTCAGTTAGTCACCTTATTGGCCTGGTTAATGCACAAATATCTGATTTGTACGTGCACTGCTACCTGGTAATGACATGTATACATTAGATATGCATAGACATTAGCACACAACTAGCTTTGAAATTCTGTCATGCAATTTCTAATCATAAATGTTTTAGGTATGAAACAATATGCATATAGTATCAACTGTAGATAATATGAATGAATGGTTTTATTTTGTGTTTTTCTACATGGGTAATTGTATTTTTCTATCATAGCTATGCATTGATCGTTTCTTTTGTGAACCACTAATTTTTTAAAAATTATGTATAATAAGTGCACCTTCAGCTTTTAGCAGAGGGAGGAACTTTACATGAACAGACCTTACTTTTGCTAAGTGTGGTCTTTTCTTGCCATCTGGAAATGCAAATAGTAACTTGTATTATTTAACTGCCAGTTAATAGAGTTTAAAAACTGATATTCAATCAGTTTTGTTTTCCTAGAACGAAAGAAGCCTTTAAGTCTCCTTCAGCTATAAGGATCTCTTCAATTTTAGGACCTCATCCTGGGAAGTACTGGGACATCCATTGACTTAAGTGGGAGTTGCAGGTGCTCAATAACTTTAGGATTATGTAGTTAACTGCTTTGTTCCCTGTCATTTCAAGGCCCCTTGTGTCATGTCATCTTCTGTCCAAGAAGAGTTGGACACAGCTCCTTCTAGGGGCTGCTTCTAGAATGACCTGAGTGGTCATTCCTCAGAATAAGAACCTAAATAGAAGAGAGACGGAATTCTCTGAGCTGGGAGCTCAGGACCAAATTCTGATTTGGAATTCTGATCCTTGCCTGGAAGCACTGACTTCCTGCTAGAATGCGGAGCCAGATAAGAACAGCTTTGAATGTAGTTTTCAATGTATTAATTTCCATGTCAGAAATTAGAGTGCTTAGATTTTGTTAGTTATATCTCCAGAGAAGGGCTATATTTCCCATCTTAGGCTTGGGAAAAAATCATATTGCAGTAAACTGTCAAATGTATTGTGTTACTAAGGTGCCTTATATTGTGGTATCTAAGCACCATGCGCACATACTCCATATGCCATAATCAGACTGTCTGAGATTGTTTACTTCATTAAAGTGGCAATGTTGAAAAAACAGCCTTAACTTTGTATTCCTATAAACTAAGAGCCACTCAGATTTTGGATTTATTAAATAGTTAGGTCATATGGTGCCATATAACACATTGCATGATGGTTTGTGCCGTGAGATGCTGTAACTATTTTTTGGAGTTGTGCAATTTTATTTCCTATTGGATTAGCAAAATTTGATGACCATGCACTGAACAAGACTTCAGTCTCAGCCAATCATGATCCAGAAAAGCTTGGATGTGCTTTCTAAACCAGAGACAACTATATACCCACCACAATAAGAAATTCACAACTCTCAAGTTAATTATCAGGAGATCCTAAAATAATTGTATTCATTTCACAATTTGAGACATGTAAAAATGCTTATTGGGAGGATTTGGTAGAACGATGTATGAAAACTATTTATAAATGAAGTGCTCAGTATAACTGGGCTCATTGGGAGGCAGCCTCTCCAGCCAATTGTTTAGTTGCATGGCATATTTTGTAATACTGTAAAATGATTAAGAAAGATAAATGATAAAATAATTTTTAAAGAATGAATCAAGAAGTGTTTGGCTTTGAACCAAAATTGTTTCCTCTTAGAGTTCACCTTAAACTACACTGCAGTTTCCATTGCTTGGATTTAACACCCATCCTCTAGATGTATAACAGATGTTGTTTAGTTTTTAATTTGTGAAAACTTGTGTGTGCTTTTCTTATAGCTCTGATTGTTCCAGTACTGTTTAGTAGCATTTCTTTTCTCTTCCTCTGAAGGTAGATGCTTTATCATTTGGGATTCTGATCAGCAAATACATTAAAGCACTCAACACTAAACATGCACCTATAAACGTATTAATGCTCATTAAATAGTGTGGGATGCTATATTGTGCATTAAAAACTGAAGTGCCTTGAATGTGGCAATGTGGGTGATGTGGCTTCATTATTAGTAGCTTCTCCACCACTGATATTGCTTCTGTTGTGCTTTGGTGGCAAGGAATCAAGAACGTTATTTTTTGTTGGATGTAGTTATTGGAATAGCTGTGCACCCAGTAAGCATATAGAGGAACCTATAAAATTGTACAGAGTATACGTGACACATCATGTTAAGCTTTTTAGGTTGCAAACTGATGTTTTTCCCCAAGAAAGAACCTTTCTATGTTGGAAATGCTAATGGAAGAAACAAATGAAAATGCTTTTTAAAATGACAAATATCTTCAGTAAAACATTTTGTCCTTCATATTCATTCAACAAAGGGAGGCAATTTGACAGAGAAGGATCGTACAATCTAATGTTTGTATCATACCAGTAAGGTCAGTGAAAAATTAAATGTCTTTTTCCTGTTCATAGTTATCATGTACCTATGTGCAGAATTTAATGAGAACCACCATCTTATATTCATGCCCTGATATTTTGGGATATATATTACAGGCCAACACAGATGTTTATTCATGTCACCATTGTATGTTTTAGTCATAACAGCTTAATGGGCTTTCTAATCTTTTATAGAGACTGATGCTCATGGACTAGGAATTCAATGGCTTTCAAAACACTTCAGCTGCACGACTCTGACTTAAATAAACTCAGGCTACTAAAATGTATTGCAGAATTCCCCAGCTAAAATTTTCTTAGTCTTCTTTCTCTCTACCTCATGACTTACAAAATGTTAGATCACTGTTCTCGTGAGAGTATCATTTCAGTGGCAACACAGGTAAGTGTGTTAACTAGAAAGGCTGTAAAACAAGGCATCTCTCTCTTAGTGACACTACAGTACAGTCTCCATTGAAGCCAGTGGAGCAATGCTATGTTACACTACCTGCCAATGTGTCTAGTGTATTCTACCATGGATTTTAACGTGTGGGGGAGGGATCCCTAAGATGTATGGCTTCAATCTTGAAACATGCTGAGTGCTCATCTGTGGTTCAGGGCATTCCTGCGAAGTGCTTAGGGCCCTCAACACTAGGGTGACCAGACAGCAAGTGTGAAAAATCAGGACGGGGGTGGGGGGTAATAGCCTATATAAGAAAAAGACCCAAAAATCGGGACCGTCCCTATAAAATCGGGACATCTGGTCACCCTACTCAATACTTGTTGACGTCAGCATCACCTTGCAGAGCTCTTAGCACCTTGCAGATCAAGCCCTATATCTACCCCATACTGCTGAGAAATACAAACCAATTATACACTTTCTGCAATTATTCTGCATGTAACATTAGCAGCTGTATTAATCCCTAGTTTTGTATGATAGTATTTGACAGACCCCTTCTGGCCACGTATAAGTGTGATATTCTATGTCGGTTAGAGGTTACACATTTTATTTTCATTCATTAGAGATGACTATGCCCAGTTGAACTATGTCATCGCTTCAGTTTACCACTCACAAGTTATGTGGCCCTACCCGAGGCATATTTAAAAGAGTAGTATGCTGTCCACTGTCAACTCATGTTGTGTATCTGGCTTACAATTACCTTATTTGACATATGGGCACCGACCACTTGTTCTAATAAATGCCATGTAGCACAACTGAATGGAAGGTAAAAAGTGCACGCAAAAGAATTATACAACGGTTTGAAGAAATAAAGTCACAGCAGATGCAATTTCTTAACAGTGGATATTTTTTATTATTTTTATCTATTTCCATTTCAATGTAGGGATGGGATTCATTTTGCAAAGAGAGAGATAACAAACTGATCTTTGGCATTTCAGTTCTACATTTCTGTTCTTCCACATTTCCTTCCAGTCGAAGCACTATGTTATATAATTCATTCTAAGTCTTCCCTTTCCGATTTAACCACAGCCACCATCTGCAATCAGCAGATCCTTCTGGCTACATCTTTAGCTGATTGCAGGAGGGAAGAGGGTTAAATGGCTCTGCAGAGCTTTCATTTGCTGTAGTGACCTAAATGAAACAATCTGGATTGAACCATTAATCACCAGTGAATTTTTTCCAATGACTTCCCCCCGACACACACACACACACACACACACACACACACACACACACCCTGTAGAGTTGCCTGTGGAAAAACACATTGGTAAAATTAAATAATTGCATTTCAAATTGTGTCTGTCTGCTGCCCACATAGCTCATTACATTTAGCTGACAGTTTTATAAAGGCTTCATAAATAAAGAATAATCTTTGCAGGGTATAGAAATAAGTGAACCCTGCAAGCAGCCAGGATATCACATCACATACTGTAATGTTGAATGACATTATGCTGGTGATGTTTTGGGTTTTATTTTGTTTTTTAAAAAACCTTGGTAGGGATTGAAGGGTATTGGAGATGCTGTTATCTCAGGTCTGCAAGCTACATTAAACCTAATAATTAGACTGCACAAGTTAACTTCAAGATACTGTACTTTAAAATGCACTTAATCTAAACTTTGTTTTAGGAAATTAAAGCGCATCCCTGCATAATGACTCAGAAAAACTTCCATCTGTGCATCGTTTGTATGTGTACAAAGGAGTTCATCCTTCACTTTTCAGTCATTTTAATGTTGCAAATCTAAAAAGGAAAAAAGAAAAGAATAATTCTTTTTTTTTTTTTTAACAGCTAGACTCCTTACTTTATCTTAGTTAGCATCCTGCACCAAAAGAAATCTCTGTCTTTGTTTAGCTTTGGCTGCACGGACAGGTGGCTGGTGACAATCGTTAGTTGGTCTGGAAAAATGGAGGACCTGTTTTCAAGCACACACAGACAGAGAGAGAGAGAGAGAGAGAGTGTGTTTAAAGCGTGTTGTGTGCTTCGCAGCTTTCTGGTGCTGTTGAAATTTGGCAATGCGTTTGTGTGTGTTGGTGATGCAGAACTCAGTCTAGAGCCAGTAGAAGTTGGGTGTTCTCGCTCTCACCCAGTTCCTCATGTTTCAGCGTGCCAGGTTCCACTACAGACTGAGACCTGAAAGCAAAACACACACATGCTAAGAAAGAGTAAGGCAGAAATACTAATATCTTCAACCTGCCTTAGCTTCTTCAGGATCTTGTGACCTTTGCTTTTTCTACGGTGCTCAATTGAAATGCATAAAAGTATTGGTTTTACTATATATATATTTTATATAAAATCATTGGAAAACATATACTTAACAGGAATACCACTTGTTTATTACATGTCCAATTTAACTATCTAACACTTACTCATCATCATTTATGTTCTTTACTGTAAAGTAAAGGCCTGACCCTGAGAGGTTGAAAACAAATAAAAGGAAGTATTTCTTCACACAACGCACAGTAAACCTGTGGAACTCCTTGCCAGATGATGTTGTGAAGGGCAAGACTGTATCAGGGTTCAAAAAAGAACTAGATAAATTCATGGAGGAGAGGTCCATCAATGGCTATTAGCCAGGATGGGTAGGGATGGTGTCCCTAGCCTCTTTTTGCCAGAAGCTGGGAATGGGCCACAGGTAAAGGATCACTTGATGATTACCTGTTCTGTTCATTCCCTCTAGGGCACCTAGCATTGGCCACTGTCGGAAGACAGGATACTGAGCTAGATGGACCATTAGTCTGACCCAGTATGGCGGTTCTTGTGAGGTGCTGAAATGAAGACAATGGGATATGTAGGGGCTCGCTTTCTGGACAAGGCCATAAGGCCCTGATCCTGCAAACACTTTAATGGGACTACTCAGATATGTAAAATTACTCATGTGTGCCCTGTCCTTGCAAGACTGATGCCTAATTTATTCTTGCTACATACCTTGAGGTTGGCAAGAAAGAATTAACCCTGATTTACAAATATGGGAAATTGAGGTACAGAGCTTCTGTGACGAGCCCAAAGCCACAGATGGGGTCAGACCCAGGATGAGAAGAGAGGAGTCCCTGGCTCCCCATCCTGTGCTAAGATCTCTAGATCAC